TGTCTATCATTCAAACACTTGTAACTGATTCTTGATGAATATGAGACACTTTTGAATCATTGATATTGAACATATAAAAACGTTTTTGTTATTAACTTGGTGATTCACAACACTTTATTTTCCGCACTACTTGCCACTTGACGATTCTGAAACTCTGTTTCAGTATTTTCAACACTTGGACTATTCTAGTATAGGTTTACTGAATTTTCTCATTTCATCAGTTGGTATCAGAGCTCGAGTGATCGACTTTGAGACTTAGAAAACTTTTCACAAAAACACTTTTTCAAGTTTCAAACTAGTATCACCTGTTCTCAATGGCAAGTGTGAATCAAAACCAAAATGTTCTCTATTCAGTTTCACTTGCAAACAGTCTTGGAGCAGGAAATCGTGCACCTATCCTTGTGCCTAGTGAATACACATCATGGGCAGATCGTATCAAGTACTACCTGGAAGGTCATGACTCTGACTTCTGGACCTTCATCTCCACTGGGAAACATACTCCATAATTTTTGAAGGAGATCAGAGTTCCTGAAGCTGATGTCTCTCCTGAAACCTCCAAAGTCATCTCTGGATCTGTTTCCTCTGGTGCTCAACTTCGTCACAGGAAAATCAAGAAGTTTGAGGCTAAGGCAATGTAAGAGCTCTTATCTGGAATTCCTCATGACATCTATGAGCAACTTCCTGATGAAGATAAGAGTTCACCCTTCAATGTCTGGAATGCACTCAAGAAACAATTTGAGGGAACTGATAAAATCCTTGCAAACATAAAAAAAGCTGCATTGACAGACATGGACAACTTCAAGATGTTACCTCATGAAACTCTCTTCGATGCATATTCTAGGTACAACATTGTTGTCAACAGGGTGAAGAAACTCAAAGGAGAAAGATCGCAAGAGGCTTTCAATCTGAAATTCTTGAACAGTTTATCTCCAAAATGGGATACAGTGCATATGATCATACTGCAAACTACAATCAATCTAGATACCATGTCTCTGTTTGATCTGTATGCTGAACTGCAACAACATGAGCCAAAGGTCAACAAGCTAGTTCAAGCAACTCCTTTTGATAATCAAGGACTTGCCCTGGGAAATTCAACACCCATGGCAAATCATTCTCAAAACTTGATTGCACATCATAATCCAATCCCAAACCACTTTGCTGATCAGTTTTCCAACCAAGGATATGGAGCATATCCTTATCAAAGTTCGAGTATGGCTCAATAGTACAACCAGAATCCTTACATGCCAACTCAACAACCTCTTCAGATCGCAAATGGGTACATGGCTAATCATCAAGCTTTCATTGGAACCACAATGGAATCTCCTCAAATCAATGAGGAAAAGGAGTATGAATAATGTATGGCACTCCTGACCAAGTTCAATCCAAACTTCAAGAAGTTTGTGAACAAGCCAACAGGGAACTTTAGGGCACAAAGTTATCAGCAACCCCAACACTATCATCAAAACTCTGGAAACTTCCAAGGAGGAAGCAACAATCAACAAAGCTTCAACTCTCAGAATTCAAATTCTGAAAGTTACAACTCCCAGAGGACGAACACAAGGGTTCAAGATAACAAGTCAAAGTCCTATGACGATAATGAAGTAATCAGATGCCATAATTGTCAAGGTGAAAATCATTTTGCCAAGGATTGCAAAATGAAAACCAAGAAGGTCAAAGACGAAGCATACTACCTTCAAAAGGCGGAGAAGATCAAGAAGCAGTCAAAAGACAAAGCATTCATGGTCATGGAAACTCCAAATGTGGAAGTCTGGGGAACTGATGATGAAGTGGATCAAATAGAAGAACCTGAAGCTTACAAAAACTACTTCTGCTTCATGGCTGATGATGAGAAAGAGCCTTCTCCTCTCCATCAACAAGTTGTTGAAAAGGTACGCTTTATGCTTCGTGATAATCATTTAACTAGTGAGCCTTTTCTTGATGACATTGACCATATTTCTGAAATAATCAAAGAATATGTCACCAATGCTGAATATCGTGTCAGTTATTACAAAGATGAACTGACCGATACTCAGTTCAGACTTGAAGAATTGAGATGTCGTATGACTAAGTTAGAAAATGATCTCGCAATCAAAACTGAGGCACATCTTACGTCAGTTGAACAATATGAAATTGTATTGAATCAACGTGACATTATTGCAAAAGACAATCGTGAGATGTACGCCCAAATCAATACAAAAATCAATAGTTATAAGGCATCCAAAACCCTTCTTGAACAGAACTCGCATGCTATTCTTAAGGGACCAAAACCATCATGGATCAAATATGGTCTTGGTTATGATGAAATGAACAAGGAAATCATAGGACTCAATACTCAACCAGAGTTGTTACCATGTGATCCAAGTCTCTTCACTGGAGACAATGAGGGTCATGAAGAGGTGGTAACTTGTAGTCCTGATGTAATTGCCACTTCATTCTCAAGCATCCCATTGGAAGTCACATCATCCCATGATCTTCCAGACATGGTCACTAAGTCTGACTCTCTAGTGGAATTCTCTCTTGAATGTCCCACCGTGGAAAGTTTCAATTCAGAAGATGCCACTTCTGAAAAAACAAATATCCCTGACTCTAAATCTAGTGATAAAAAGCCCAAATCAAATGAACCAGTAGGATATTCCAAGACTGAACCCATTAAATTCCTCAGTCAAGAAACATTTCCATCTCTTAATGCTTCTGTCTCTGGAACAAAGGACTTAGGATGTAAATATTCTAAGAAACAACAGACTGGGAAGTCTCCAATTCCAGTCAACAAGGATGAAACCTTGAAGATTGTGAGTAATGAGAAAACTGTTGTTGAAATACTCAAGAGGCCTTTTGTTCCAATCAAAATCTCTTCACCCAGTCCTAAACAACAGGAGACAATTGTAAAGCCAACTAATGTCTCTAAAGACAAGGGAAAAGAGAAAATTGATGTCTCTAAAGAACAAGGTCCAACTGTAGTCCATCCTTCAAAACCCAAAGTGGTTAAGACTACAAATAATGATAAAGATAGGAAGACCAAGAGAGTACCTAAGGCTAAGCCAAGCCAAAGGAAGACCAGACATACCAGTCCTCCCAAAACTTCAAGGACTCAATGAACCTCTCCTTCCAATCATGGTTTCTCAAATTCTGGATTTCCAAACCCAACTGGAACTAACTATCAGAAAAATTTCAGACCTAATAATCATCCTGATTTGTCTGAAATGATGAGACCAAGACCTGTTCAAACCAACCCTTTCATGTATCAGAATAGTAATTACCCTATGAATTCTATTCTTGGTCCATATTGTGGTTTTTCTCCGTCCATAGGAGGGAATCACATGTTTGGGGGAAACTCTGGGTTTCCAATGATCAATCAATTCGGGGGAAATTCCGAGTTTCCCATGTTTGATCAATTTGGAATGCCTGTGAACTATGGACTTCCCTCTCTAGGAATTCATACTCAGTTCACCAACTTTCCATTCTTCCCACAAACCAAACCTCAAAAGAAGACCCCTAAGAAAACAAAAACCAAGGTCACAAAAAACCAAGAAAAACCCAAAGAGGTTAATGCAAAACAAGAAAAGACTGTCCCAACTCCCACAAGTCCGAAGGAAGCTAACACTCAAGGACCCAAACAAACATGGGTACCTAAACCTTCTCTCTAAATGCAGGCTTTTTGTGTCGGGGTACCACACGATGATACATGGTACCTTGACAGTGGATGCTCCAGGCACATGACCGGGCACAAAGGATATCTCAGAGATTTCAAGATCACAACGCCAGGTCAGTATGTTACTTTTGGAAACAACATGAAGGGAGAAGTTATGGGACATGGAAACATATCAAACGGGAACTTTACCGTTAAGCGTGTAGCGTATGTAGACGGTCTTAAACATAACCTTATCAGTGTTGCACAACTGTGTGACAATGATCATGAGGTTTTGTTCACCAAAACCAAGAGTTTGATTATGGATACCAACAAGCGCATCCTTGTTGATTCCCCACGAAATGGGAACATGTATCCTCTTGATATTGAACTAATTGAGGGAACCCTGATATTTATCTTCTTTGAAAAGCTGCTTCTGGCATCAGTTGGTTGTGGCATAGAAGACTCTCTCACCTCAACTTTGGTTATATCAACAAACTCATTGGAAAGGATCTTGTGAGAGGACTACCATTGTTAAAACTTGACAATGATATACTTTGTGCTGCCTGTGAACAAGGCAAAATTTCCAAATCTCCACACAAAAGTATAATAGAACATAGTGTATCTGAACCTCTTCAGCTTATACATATTGATATGTGTGGTCCCATTACAGTTCCTAGCTTAAGTGGTAAGAAATACATTCTTGTGATTGTGGACGACCATACCAAATTCACTTGGGTGTACTTTCTGCGAAACAAATCTGAAACCACCAATGAGCTAATCAACTTCATTCGCTACATAGAAGTTAGGGTAGGCAAGCCACTTAGAAGACTGAGAAGTGACAATGGTGGCGAGTTCAAGAACAACGCCTTAGATAGCTTTCTTGTATCTAAAGGCATCGAGCATAATTTTTCTGCACCCTACACTCCACAACAGAATGGTGTAGTTGAAAGGAAGAACCGGACACTATGTGAAGCTGCTCGATCTATGTTGATCTTCGCAAACCTACCACAATACTTTTGGGCTGAAGCCACTGCAGCCGCCTGTTTCACTCAAAACAGATCCCTAATCAACAACAGGCTTGAAGTCACTCCCTATGAAGCAATGAACAAGCGGAAGCCCAACGTCAAATTCTTTCACATCTTTGGTTGTCGTTGCTACATCAAGAACAATAGGGATCAACTAGGGAAATTTGCACCCAAGGCTGATGAAGGTATCTTTCTTGGATATTGCCTTCATGCTGCAGCCTATAGGGGTTCTGAACAAAAGAACCAGGGTGATAGAGGAAAGCAGTGATGTCACTTTTGATGAAAGTTATGTAAGGGTTCTGGATCCAAACCACTTTGGTCCTCAAATGGTAGTACCATTTGATAAAATGAACCAGCCATCACCTGCTAATGCTTCTTCTCCAATCCATGCTATTGAAGTAGATTTTGATTTCCTCTTTCCAACTCAACCTTCTGCCCTAGAATCAGAAAAGCTCACGAAAATAGCTTCTCCTGATGTCTCTCAACCTCATCAATCATCAAAAGTCTCAAGTTCCATCAAAGCTCCGGTTGAGGGGGAACCATCTTCTGAATCTTCTGAACCTTCTACCCCAACCTCCCATCATCAATCTGGACCAGTCATAACACCAGTCACTGCATCTTTCGAGGGGGAACCACCTTTGAACGGTTCCATTCTTAAAGGTACTTTACAATCCTCCCAACCATCCAGTCCATGGTTTCAGGGGGAACCCCACTCGACTGGTTCCAGTCCCTCAAGTTCCTTCACGTCTACTCCATCTGTTGAATTCAAGCATGCAACAGTTGAGGGGGAACCACCTGTTTCAGGTAGTTCTGGACTCTTCCAAGACGATCTTTTTGAAGGAACATTCACTTCTGACTACCCTCCTCGTCCAAGAGAACAATATGAGGTAGTTTGCACTCCTCAAATCCATAAGGAAGCTCGCCTCACAAAATGGACAAAGGATCATCCAGTCGATCAAATCATAGGTGATCTAGATTCTGGAGTAGTGACTCGTTCAGCAACCAAGAATGAATGTCTATATGCAAGCTTTTATCCATGATAGAGCCTAAAGGAATCAAAGAGGCTCTACAAGATGCAGATTGGGTAAAAGCAATGCAAGAAGAGTTAGCTGAATTTGAACGCAACAACGTGTGGGACTTAGTGCCAACACCAGAAGGAGTATCAGTTGTTGGTTCACGATGGGTCTACAGGAACAAAAGTGATGAAGATGGAGTCATCATCAGGAACAAAGCCAGACTGGTTGTCAAAGGCTACTCGCAACAAGAAGGCATAGACTGTGATGAAACCTTTGCACCTGTTGCACGAATATAAGCCATTAGGATTTTATTGGCATTTGCTGCACACAAGAATTTTAAGGTCTACCAAATGGATGTGCAGTGTGCATTCTTAAATGGCGAAATCGATAGGGATGTCTATGTTCAACAACCTCCTGGATTCGAAGATCCAAAGTTCCCCAACCATTGCTATAAGCTTCAAAAGGCTGTATATGGATTAAAGCAAGCTCCAAGAGCATGGTATGGCACCTTGTCCAAGTTCTTAGAAGATTCCAAGTTTCAAAGAGGTTCTATTGATCCCACTCTCTTTAGGAAAATCCACAACAACCATCTGATTGTCGTGCAAATCTACGTCGACGACATCATATTCGGTTCAACCAGCAAGGACCTTAGTGATGAGTTTGCTGAGTTGATGAAAAGCAAATTTAGAATGAGTATGATGGGTGAGCTCAACTACTTCCTAGGTCTACAAGTTCGTCAATCTCCTAAGGGAATCTTCATTGGTCAAGAGAAGTACATCAAAAATCTGTTGAAGAGATACTCCATGGAGAACGCATCAACTGCAAAGACACCAATGTCTACTTCCTACAAGCTTGATTCAGACCTTGATGGAAAATCTGTAGATCAGAAGCACTACAGAGGAATGATTGGCTCACTACTGTATCTTACAGCTAGTCGACCAGACATCATGTTTTCAACATGTCTGTGTGCACGCTTTCAAGCCAATCCAAAGGAATCACATCTCATAGCAGTCAAAAGAATTTTTTAAATATCTAAAAGGAACTGCTTCTCTGGGTCTATTTTATCCTGCTAAAGGCAACTTCTATCTCCAAGCCTTTACTGACTCAGATTATGGAGGATGCAAGCTCGACAGAAAGAGCACTTCTGGTAGCTGTCAATTCTTAGGAGGCAGATTGGTCAGCTGGACCTCAAAGAAGCAAACATGTGTTTCAACCTCTACTGCTGAAGCTGAATATGTTGTTGCCGCCAGCTATTGTTCTCAAGTGCTCTGGATGCAAACACAACTGAGAGATTATGGATTCAAAATGCAACAGATCCCAATCTATTGTGACTCTAAGAGTGCAATTGCAATCTCTCACAATCCAGTCAACCACTCAATGACCAAGCACATTGATATCAGGTATCACTTCCTAAAAGATAATATTCAGAAAGGTCATATTGAGCTTCATTTTGTTCCTACAGATGAAGAGACTGCAGATGTGTTCACGAAAGCTCTGGATGAATCCAAGTTCTTACACTTTCTAGGACGACTTGGCATGCTTAATCCAGATTCTCTAGGCATTTGAAAATTTTCTTTCTTTCTCAATTTTTTTTTTAAAAAACTTTAAAAAAAAAAACCCAAAAAATATTTTATTTTTCCTTTTTTACCTTACATAAGAGAAAACTACAAAAAGATTTAATTTTTTTTGTATTTTGTCTTTACTTTAAACAAAAGAAAATACCAAAAAGATTTTATTTTTATTTTGTTAGGAAAATGCAAGTTGTCATCACAACTATGCAAATGAAGAAGGTTAGTTGCTCCACACTTTAATGATTTTTCAAAATACTAAATTTGTGGTTCTTCAGTTTGCTTCAGTACACAACTAATATTGGTACTTTAGTGACCATTAACAAGCTTCATGGTTATACTCTACTTAGAGTTATAACATACATCAAGTACTAATGTTATGTGGGATAATTTGAGGCGAACTCTAAGGTTTAGTTAAGCCAATGTGTTATAGTATATTTGTGGCTTCCCTGTCCTAGTGAACTCATGAGACAAAAACGCGAACTTGTGTAGTTTGAGGGACATAAAAAGTTTTGCTTTGTGAATATCTATACCCAATAAAAAGCTTCTTAGTTAAAACAAAGAGAGTCAAGTTCCAAGTTTATCTGTTTCATTTATGCACTTTGAGTCTAGTTATATATTAAATAAGTTATAGTTCAAGAGTGGAGTCAATCTGTGACCTATGAGAACTCGGCCAGTAAACCCCACGGGATATTGAAAATCTGTCCACCTGCAGTACATTAACGCGGATCGGACCGGGAAGAAGTCCGCTACATGGGTTTTCATAGAAAGTCATGGACTCCATTAGTGACCTAAGAGATTCCGAGAACTCCAATGAATTTCTTAGAAAGTCACGAACTAAAGTACAAATAGAAGTAAAGCTAAGAATTATTTTCTTGTGTACTTTGTCAAAATTAGAGTTATATAAAAAAATCAAAAAAAAAATCAAAAGTATAGTTATATTCTTAGGTCAACTATTATATATATTATTTTTTTTCTTCTGAAGTCGTGTCACTTGGAATTTGGCGATACATTTTGAAACAAAAGAAGTCAATAAAAAGGTATAGGTGGTAGGAATGCCAAAAATGAATGTTGTTCAAAATAAGTGGGGAACGTTTATGAGGAATGTCAGTATTTAGGGCTTGGGAAGTAACTAGGCCTTAGACACAAATATACGCATTGCGGTGAGACATAATTGGTGAGTACAAATCGGGTTATTCTGTGTAATGTTCAGGAATTCAAAACATAATAATCCACAAGGGAACTCTTTACAACGCGAAGTGAAGAATCAAACACAGAATTTAGTTGCTTGATAAATCTGTAAGTAACAGCAAGATAATCCTCAATGCCTTTAAATCAGTCAACTAGTGTTTCCTTAAAGTTCTTGTATTCACATGCACACACTTCACTGCATTTTACTATTTCCTTCTCAGATTCTCTATCCATATGCACACACATCACTTTCAAAGTTAGATTATTCAGTGTTTGCACTTTATACTTTCTGTTTAACTCATGCCTTAGAATCTAGGTAAAGCAGTTAAGTTAGATAGAGAATACCACTTACTTGATCATGGAACATCCTGAGCCAAGTGGAGCATCTTATGACAATGGATCATCCTCTTCAAGAAAACCATATGTGTTCGCTTTGGTTTATGGAGCATTCTTGTATATTGTGAAGAAGTTCAAGATCAAAAGCTTTAAAGAACCATCTTGAAGCATCTCCTCGTCTTTGGACCAAATGGACGAATGAATGAACCATCTTCATTCATTTTGATCATCTTGAGGCATGTTGGACTATCTTCATCAACTTGATCATCTTGAGGCAACTTGGACCATCTTCATCAACTTGATCATCTTGAGGCATCTTGGCACATCTTCATCATCTCGATCAACTAGAAGTACTCTGGAGCAATTTCACAAACTTGAAGGATCTTGATCACTTGGACCAGCTTGGAGCATCATCAGTCATTTGGAGCATGTTCAAAAACGTTGCCATCATGTTCAACAACATTGGAGCATGATCAAGAACATTGGCACATGATCAACAACTTGAGGCATCATCAGCCACTTGATGCATCACGCCCATGTGACTCATTACGTCCACATAGAGCATAATAAATGTGTCATGCACGTTTTGAATAGGCCATACACGTTTTATTAATGAGCCATACACGTTTCATGTAGACCATGCACATCTCAATTAGGTCATGCACATGTCAAGTATGTCATGCACGTTTCGAGTAGGTCTTTCCTTAGGTGCCATGCACGTCTCAAAGATATCATCCATGCATGCACCACCTTTTCTTTCTTGATTCTCAAGGCATCATTCTCGCGCTCGCGACTCAAGTTGAAATTCTCCTATTTATACTTGAGTACCATCCAAGCCTTATGGGCCCACATGTTGGCCCATGCAAGCCCTATTTCGGCCCATTGAGAAACCCTAGAAACCTTCACCTATAAATACCTCACTTCTACTTCTCATTCTTTCTTTTTCACTCTCTCACAAATTCTTACTTTCATACTCGCTTGGAGCAACAAGGCGTCGTGAGCAACAGTCGCGTATGCAACAGGCAACTTAAGTTGGTGAGAAACAAGCAGCCTTGGCACAACAGCAAATTTGGCTCAACAACCTAATTTTCGAAATTTCTTCTTGAGCCACAAGTTTTTTTTTGTTGCAAAACCCTAGTTTGGCTCAACTACCTCCCTATTTTCGAAAATCCTCTCTTGAGCCACAAGTTTTTCTCAAAACCCTAGTTTGGCTCAACAACCCTAATTTGGCTCAACAACTTCCTTATTTTCGAAAATCATCTCTTGAGCCACAAGTCTTTTTTTTAAAACCCTAGTTTGGCTCAACAACAACCCAATTTTCGAAAACTCCTCTTGATCCATTCGTGATCAACAAGGATTTCGTGTGCCCTCTTGAGCCATTCGTGATCAGCAAGGATTTTGTATCCCTTCTTGAGCCATTGGTGATCAACAAGGATTTCGTGTGCCCTCTTGAGCCATTCGTGATCAACAAGGATTTTGTATCCCTTCTTGAGCCATTGGTGATCAACAAGGATTTCGTGTGCCCTCTTGAGCCATTCGTGATCAACAAGGATTTTGTATCCCTTCTTGAGCCATTGGTGATCAACAAGGATTTCGTGTGCCCTCTTGAGCAATTCGTGATCAACAAAGATTTTGTATCCCCTCTTGAGCCATTCGTGATCAACAAGGATTCGTGATCAACAACCCTCTCTTGCTCATCAAGTAATTCTGAAATCCCTCTTGAGCATTCCTTATTTCGAAACCCTTCTTGACCCTCACAATTTTTTTTTCGTGATCAACAAGGATTTCGAAATCTCTTGCTCAACCTTGCGTGAGGAACATTCTTGTATCAAGTCCCCTTCTTGAGACATAGCCTCTTCGTGATCATCACTTGAGCTTCCCTTCTTGCCTCATCAACGTCAACAACTTGAGCCATTTTATCCCTCTTGAGCCATTCCTTATTTCCTTACCTTCTTGCGCAATTCCTCTTGACCCTCACAACCCTCTCTTGATCAACCTCTTTTTCTTCGTGATCATCAAGAAAAACCGAGGATACCTTCTTGAGCCACACTCAACCCCCCCCCCACCCCATCTTGAGCAACAGCAACATCGGTTATCACTTGAACATCAACAAACTTCTTGACCATTAAGATTTCTTTGTGCATCAAGGTCGTCATAAGCATCAAGATTTTCTGTGAGCTTCCTACTTTTTTGTGTGTGTGAGCGCATTCTGAACTGCACCATATCACTCAAAACAAAACACTCCTTGATGTGTCATTATTTTTTTTCGTCAACATCCTATTTTTTTTGGCATCTACAGAATTTTTTCTCTCGTGAGCATCTAGATATTTTTTTTGTGAGCATCAAATGCTCCATCAAACCTTCTTGTTGCGCCACACATCTTTTAGATGCGCTAACCATCATGGTGCTCCATCTTTCTTTCTAGGACTCATTTTTTTAAGCCCTGCATGCAAAGTCTATTTTTTTGGTGTCATATAGTTCCAATTCGTTGGCCTATAAGCTTTTCTATCTAGAAATCCTACAGCCTTATGAAGAGTTCTTCCTGTTGAGAGCATCACCAAAGTGTATCATTTGGCAAGCCAATCCTCGTTTAACACCCTTCTCCAGCGCAAGCATCAGCCAGTCAGCCACACATCGGCAAGCGCACCTTGGTTGTGTACCAGTCAAACACCTCTCCAACGTTTCCACAAAATATTTTTGAGTGTGTTTAAACACAGTTGGAGTGCATCCTGTTGAGCATCATAACCTCATGAGCATATTCTTTTGATCATTAGTGTTGTTTTTCCTTGGAGCAACATCACTGGGGTGAAAAATCTTGTGGCGCATGATCAGATTTGCCAAACCCAACGACTAAACATCCACCTTTTGACCATCATGTTTTGATATATCAGACTTTGTGTTGGATCATTGGTTGTGCATCTTATATACAAGCGTCATTTGAGCATTGTGTCTCCTTGGCCTATCTCAAGTGATACCACATTTGGAGCATCATCATCAGTTTCGCGCAACACTTCTTGATGCAACATCTAAGTTCACGTGATCTTCAATCTCTTGCATCTTCTACCTCTAGAGCATCATAATTTTTGATAGTTTAGTCATCAGTATTGGTGTATCAACTTCTCACCAATATCAAAATCCTTGTTGGCGCATCTTCACTTTCCAGAACAATTTCAAGTGCGCCATGTACAAAATGCTCATGGTGCTTATATATGCTTTTGATTATGCATAAAAAGAGAAGTTGGAACTTATCAGATTCGCCACTTCACTTCTAATGTGCTCCATGCTCATATATTTTCATTTCATGCGTCGATCGGTGCATCCTCACATTGACGTGAGTTTTCTACCCCCTTAGCATTCACTTCTCATTACCATCTATGATCATCCTGTGAGCATTGCTTCTTTTTCCTTAAGTATTGAGTTTTTTTTTCTCTTAGTTTTCCATCAGTAGACATGATCTTCTAATCATATTCTTTCCTTGTTTCTTGTGATTCTGTTGTACCATCACTCACCCATCATAACGTTTTTTTGGCAATATTTCCTTGGTGCATCATCGGGTGTCCAACATGTTCTTGGTTTCACCCCAATCTTGACGCATCGCCCTAGTGATAAACAGCCCTGGTGCAACCACATGAAACAGCTTTGGCACACCTCCCTCATTTGTTGCGTCGTCATCTTATTTGTGCCACTTCTTATAAGTAAGTCACCATCTCAGCCGATGTGCACATCATTAATCTATTGGAGCATCTTGATCCTCTCTGTATGCATCATCATTCGTGACTACATCAGATAAGGTGCAATTATACATCGAGATTTGTTTTTGAAAGCATTCAAGCAGCTCATGAGAGCACATTCATGAATCTCCATTCGACTCGGTATCCCAACTCGAACACATATCCAGCCGTCTCGGACTTATTCTTTGGAGAACGAAACACACGGGAAGCATTAAAACCCTAAGTTCATTGTGGGCCTTTCCTTCCGAGCCCTATACAACGTGTTTTATGCAACAAACCTTTTGTGACGTCGTTGTTTTGTTACACTTGAACATAAGAGCAAATAACTCAATTGTGATGGTCTAGGTGTCGCGAAAAGAAACACATAGTTAGGCATGTGTTGGCTCGCATGCACAAAATTAATTTTTTTTCTTTGTATTTCAACCATTTTTTTTGTTTTTTTTGGGTATTGCTATATAGCCAATTTTGGATCAAGCAACCAACGAAACCCAATTGTTATTTAAATAAATTATTTTTTTTGGCCTTTTAGTATTTATCTCATTTCGAGAGATTTATAGATTTTTTTTTTAATTTTTGAAAATATCATTTATGATAAAAAAAAATTGTTTTTGATATGCTACAGTCTTTTAAGGTCAAGACCTAGCACCTTTGTTTTATCATAACACTCGTTGATATGATTTAGCAAAATATCAAAATTTTATTTATTTTTTAATTTGTCGAAAACAATCAAGTTTTTCATTCTTATTCAACACTTGATTTTTTCTTCAAACTTCTGGCCTAAATAAAACACAACACGAGTTTGCAAGTTATTCCTATCGGTCAATTTACTTTCCTATCTTGACAAAACAAATTTTTGTCTAGATCGCGCAAATTCGAACATTTTTTTTAATCAATTCCAATTTTTTTTTGTCATATTGACAGTTAAATTTTCTTTAAGAAAATCTTTCAAGTTCGAGAAACACATTCTCTCGAATAATTTTTAAAGTTTTTTTTTGTATCTGCTTCAACAGAAAATTCCATTGAAGCAGAGGGGGAAAATGTTAAATCAATATTTTTGCTTTTGCACAATTTTTACAACTCCTTATTTCAGTAACCATCACATAGGGGGGAAACTGTTGGAAATATTTTGATGTGATTGTCACTTGAAATGAGTTGAGTATTGATTTACATTTTCTAACAAACATTATCAGAATGTTTCAGGTTGGAAAGATACTGAAGATTCAAAAAGTGTTTGAAGAATCAGATGTTGGAGCACTTGAAGTTGAACATGGAGCACCTGCTGTACAGATGGAGCACTTGCTGTTGACATGGATCGCTTGCTGAAAGCTAGTTGGATCATCATGATCTCAGATGGCATATCTAGATCATATGAGGAGCATCAAGACACTGATGAATCATTTGGAATATTGATGGCTCATCAGAAACATTGTTGGCTCATTCACAACTCTATGGCTCAACAAGAGTTGATGACTCAACAGGAATACTTGGTGGCTCAACTCAAGTCAATGGATCAACATGATCACATTGATGACTCAACAAGACTGCACATTGCTCATCATGTACAATGAAGGCACGTCCAAATGCTCAAAGTAACATGAATTTCGTCCATGGTCCTTCATGAACATGTGGTGGTACATCCTCAAGTTCAAGACATAGTCCAACATTCAAGAAACTACTCAACATGATCAACAATACTTCTGGAAGTTGATGACATCTAAGAAGACAATTGAGCAACATGATGCTCATGTTGCTCATCACATTTTCAATGTTGATCAAGAAGGTTCAAGAATTATGAAGACTCATAACTTGGATGGAACCCTAACGGAATACTAACGGAATTGGAATACTCCATCCATTCTCCGTTAAGTAGGGCAAAGGTGTCAATTGATGACTAAGTCTTGATGACGTGTCAGCACCTGATTGGTCAAGCCATGTCATGAGCTTTTCCAAAGCCTATAAATAGGCCCCTTGGGATCCATTATAAAGTTGCTCTTTCTGCTCTTTTCTGATCATTCCTGCTCATTCTGCATAATTGCTGCTTAGATTAGTTTTCAGAGAGCCATTTGAGTGTTTTAGCTTGTCTATCATTCAAACACTTGTAACTGATTCTTGATGAATATGAGACACTTTTGAATCATTGATATTGAACATATAAAAGCGTTTTTGTTATTAACTTGGTGATTCACAACACTTTATTTTCCGCACTACTTGCCACTTGACAATTCTGAAACTCTGTTTCAGTATTTTCAACACTTGGACTATTCTAGTCTAGGTTTACTGAATTTTCTCATTTCTTCAAGGAATGATTTCAAGGATGAAATCTAATTTAAGTGGGGGAGAGATATAACGCCCTGTTCTTAATCGTTACCTAATGTGGGGTGGTGACCCGAAGACAGAGCATCATCAGGCTTAGGGCCTTTGAAGAAAAGAGATAGATCCATTTGGGTGTGGATAATGTAATTCGGATAATTTGGGAGTTCGGTTTGTGTTTGGAGCCAAGGGGTATTTCGATAAAGTGTCAGTTCGGGCTTCTATGGAAAATGGATTTTTGTTCGGGAAGTTTTAAGGAAAGTATGAGTTGATATAAGTGTAGAGCTTCACGTTACCTCTTCGTGGATATAAGGATCGTCGGAAACAAACTTATAACGAAGAAGTTATGGCTATTGGAAGTTGGAAAGGATTTAGGGGAAAAACTGATCTCACAACATGAGCAGTTGAAGCTCACGACGTGAGAAGCGATTAAATGGAAATGCTGATTTAAATTGTGCTCACGACGTGAGCATTAAGGGCTCACAACATGAAAACTGTGCAGCCCAAGCCCACGAGTTTTTAGGGTTTTCAACATATATAAAGGTTGGTTTCGTGTTTTTGGGGCATTTTATGAACATCCATCATATCTAGATCATCTTAAGAGAAACCTTAGCCCCCCTTTCAATATTTGGAGC